GTTTCTCACGACGGCCCTCGCCCTGGGGATGACCTTGACCATCGGGGATCTCAAGAATGCCTTCTGTAAGTCTGATCCTCTTCGGAGGAGCCGCGGGAGGGTGTTCGTGGAGCCCTGCGAGGGTCTGGGCCTTGACGCTGGCAGTTTGATCGAATTGATCGCTCCAGTCTACGGACTGGACGACGCCCCGTTGGCCCTCCATCGTGCGACTGTTCGTTTCTTCGAATCCTTGGGATACGTTCGTTCGAAATTGGAGCCGTGTTGGATGGTCCGCAGGGGTCCTAAGGGTCCGGACGCCATGGTTTTGATTGAGGTGGACGATTGGGCCATCGGTTTAGCGGGAGGAGTTCGGGAGGAACAGATTAAGGCGTTTACCGATCGGTTCGTTTTCGGAAAGCTTAGGCCTGTGGACTCTGAGGGGGTGGAGTATATTGGGAGGCGGGTTCGACGACTACATGACCGCATTCTAGCTGATCAACAGAAATACATCCTCGAGAATCTTCAGCGCCTTTATATATCCCGGGATCGACGAGGTAGGCATGATCAGCCCTTGTTGGGCCGCGAGAAAATCGAGTTCAGGTCGCTCATTTACCGGCTCAATTGGGTCGGACGAGAGATTCGGGCAGAGGCTTGCGGCACCGCGTCCATCCTGGCTTCTCGAGTGGAGTCTCCGACGGTGGGCGACGCTCTGCTGGCCAACAAAATGGTAGATCATCTTCGGCAGACAGCAGCTATCCCCATAACTATTTGGAAATTCCGCCCCGACGACCTAATCTTTGTCACTTCCTCGGACGCTGGAGGGGTTGCCACCAACGACTCCGATAAGGCCCAGCTAGCTTGGCAGGTATACGCAGCAGATCGTTCTTTGTCCACCGGATCCAGAGCACGAGTGTCTCCTCTAGCTTGGCGATCCCATCGTGCTAAGCGAGCTGCCCCCTCTACCTTGGCTGGCGAGGTTCAATCTCTTTCCGGGGCTCTGGCAGAGGCTGAGTGGTTGCAGCTCCTGTACCTGGACGTGTTGAGGGGCGGGGTGGTCACAGAGGAGTGGCGAGATAAGCTTGGTCCGTTCGCCGCCGTTCTTCGTTCTGATTGCTCCCTGAATGTACAGCAAGAGGGAAACTTGAGCATAGTCGACGCTAAGGGGATTTTCGACACCTTAGAGCGGGACTCGACGGGTTCGAAAAATGACAGGCGATCAGCTATTGACCTCTCGGTCTGTCGGGACACCCTGGGGCGCTTTGGCGGAACTATAAGGTGGGTACCACATCCGGTGATGACAGTGGACGCATTAACTAAAGCAGATCTAGCAAAATGTAACGCGGCTCAGTTGCAGATGCTGAAGTCGGGCATGATGAAGCTCACCCCAGAAGAGGACAGTCTCTCCACCCGACGCGAGGATCCGACCTCCCGAGATCGATCCCGAGCCGCCTCCCTCCGACAATTGTCCCGGTCGTGACAGCGACGAAGTCTCTCGAGTTGTATTTCAGTTTCTCTTGTACAGCTTTCACAGTGGCTGTGAGGTGAGATGAATTTAAGCTCACCAAAATTTAGGCCTGCTGTGGACTTGTGAGCTGTTTGAGCTTAATCATCTCTTGTACTGTCTGTATAGTTACTTGTCATACACGTTTATGTTCGCACGGGTGCGCGCATCCGCTGCTGTTTTGACCCAGGCACCTTTCGACACCATGTCTCTCTTGAGAGAAAACATCCCTCGTTTTCGCCACTGGCCGTCCTTGACGCGTCACCTCGAGACCTCGCCGTGCCCTGGGGGCTGCGATCTGCGCAATTGTCGCCACTTTCGTGGGCTCCTGGGATGCCCAGCGGAGGTGGGTCCCGCGCGGATCACCTCGAGACCTCGCGGTGCCCTGGGGGCTGCGATCTGCGCAATTGTCGCCACTTTCGTGGGCTCCTGGGAGGCCCAGCGGAGGCGGGTCCCACGCAGACCACCTCGAGACCTCGCGGTGCCCTGGGGTGCTTGCGATCTGCGCAACTGTTTCCACTTCCGTGGGCTCCTGGGATGCCCAGAGGAGGTAGGTCCCGCGCGGACCACCTCGAGACCTCGCGGTGCCCTGGGGGCTGCGATCTGCGCAACTGTCGCCACTTTCGTGGGCTCCTGGGAGGCCCAGCGGAGGTGGGTCCCATGCAGATCACCTCGAGACCTCGCGGTGCCCTGGGGGCTGCGATCTGCGCAACTGTCGCCACTTTCGTGGGCTCCTGGGAGGCCCAGCGGAGGTGGGTCACACGCGGATCACCTCGAGACCTCGCGGTGCCCAAGGGGCTTGCGATCTGCGCAATTGTCGCCCCTTTCGTGGGCTCCTGGGATGCCCAGCGGAGGTGGGTCCCGCGCGGACCACCTCGGGACCTCGCCGTGCCCTGGGGGCTGCAATCTGCGCAATTGTCGCCACTTTCGTGGGCTCCTGGGAGGCCCAGCGGAGGTGGGTCCCACGCGGATCACCTCGGGACCTCGCCGCCCCCTGGGGTGCTTGCGATCTGCGCAGCTGTCGCCACTTTCGTGGGCTCCTGGGATGCCCAGCGGAGGTTGGTCCCACGCGGACCACCTCGGGACCTCGCGGTGCCTTGGGGGCTGCGATCTGCGCAATTGTCGCCACTTTCGTTGGCCCCTGGGATGCCCAGCAAAGGTGGGTCCCGCGCGGATCACCTTGGGGGCTGCGATCTGCGCAATTGTCGCCACTTTCGTGGGCTCCTGGGAGGCCCAGCGGAAGTGGGTCCCGCGCGGACCATTTTGAGACCTCGCGGTGCCTTGAGGGCTGCGACCTGCGCAATTGTCGCCACTTTCGTGGGCTCCTGGGAGGCCCAGCCAAGGTGCGTCCCACGCGGATCACCTCGGGACCTCGCCGCCCCCTGGAGGGCTCGCGATCTGCGCAACTGTCGCCACTTTCGTTGGTTCTTGTGAGGCCCAGCGGAGGTGGGTCCCACGCGGATCACCTCAGGACCTCGCCGCCCCCTGGGGTGCTTGCGATCTGCGCAACTGTCGCCGCTGTCGAGGGCTCCTGGGAGGCCCAGCGGAGGTGGGTCCCACGCGGATCACCTCGGGACCTCGCCGCCCCCTTGGGGGTTTGCGATCTGCGCAGTTGTCGCCACTTTCGTAGGCCCCTGGGAGGCCCAGCGGAGGTGGGTACCACGCGAATCACCTCGGGACCTCGCCGCCCCCTGGGGGGCTTGCGATCTGCGCAACTGTCGCCACTTTCGTGGGCTCCCGGGAGGCCCAGCGGAGGTGGGTCCCACGCGCAGATCACCTCGAGACCTCGCCGCCCCCCGGGGGTGCTTGCGATCTGCGCAGCTGTTGCCACTTTCGTGGGTTCCTGTGAGGCCCAGCGGAGGTGGGTCACACGCGGATCACCTCGAGACCTCGCGGTGCCCTGGGGTTTGCGATTTGCGCAATTGTCGCCACTTTCGTGGGCTCCTGGGAGGCCCAGCGGAGGTACGTCCCACGCGGATCACCTCGGGACCTCGTCGCCCCCTGGGGGGCTTGCGATCTGCGCAGTTGTCGCCACTTTCGTGGGCTCCTGGGAGGCCCAGCGGAGGTGGGTCCCACGCGGACCACCTTGGGACCTCGCCGCCCTTTGGGGGGCTTGCGATCTGTGCAACTGTCGCCACTTTCGTGGGCTCCTGGGAGGCCCAGCGGAGGTACGTCCCATTCGGATCACCTCGGGACCTCGCCGCCCCCTGGGGGGCTTGCGATCTGCGCAGTTGTCGCCATTTTCGAGGGCGTCTGGGAGGCCCAGCGGAGGTGGGTCCCACGCGGATCACTTCGGGACCTCGCGGTGCCCTGGGGGCTTGCGATCTGCGCAATTGTCGCCACTTTCGTGGGCTCCTGGGAGGCCCAGCGGAGGTGGGTCCCACGCGGATCACCTCGGGACCTCGCCGCCCCCTGGGGGGCTTGCGATCTGCGCAGTTGTCGCCACTTTCGTGGGCTCCTGGGAGGCCCAGTGGAGGTACGTCCCACGTGGATCATTCGGAGGTGCGTCATACGCGTTTCTTTCAACGCCCCTGTGTTTCCATTTTATATAGTTGCCGTTCCTCTTCTTGCTGCGCTCTTCTGAAATCACTGTTGGGTGCTCTTCTTGCGGTCTGCGGGTCCTTCAGAATGCCAGTCAGCATTGAGCGGTCCTGAGTATAATCGCCACATGTATAGAAAGGGTTGGGTACGTCACAGGGTAATGTTTGTAACGTCGGCTCCCCAGATATCGAACGTATTGACAAAAGCCAGAACGAATCTTTTTTAGAATTTGCGGCCCCCAGGGGCCCTCGTCCTGGGGAGTGGGTGGAGGCTTCCCGGGACCCCGTATCGAACAACTCACGTCAGCGGATCTTGGGTTCTTCCTCGTGGGGCTCCGAGCGGTGCGGTGGCCGCGCCATGTGGTGGGTCAGTGGGGACTCGGAGTGGCCGCACGGTTTGGGGATCCCGAGTCGTTTTTTTGACGGTCCCGAGGCCGGGTAAGGGCCCCTGGGGGCCGAACATAGCGGAAAACCTCCCGTCGTGTTTTTTTCGCAGCGCGAGGAGGTCTGGGTCTTGCGTCCGGCCATGGGGGACGCGGGCCCTGAGGCACACGGGGTCCCTCGCGGGGCCCTGCACGGGCCCGCGAGGGACCGCCAGGCAACGACCCCGGATGAGAAGCTCGACCCCGGGGGGGAGGAGGAGGAGGAGGAGGAGGAGGAGGAGGAGGAGGAGGAGGAGGAGGAGGAGGAGGAGGAGGAGGAGGAGGAGGAGGAGGAGGGAGGGAGGAGGAGGAGGAGGAGGAGGAGGAGGAGGAGGAGGAGGAGGAGGAGGATTGGGAGGAGGAGGAGGAGGAGGAGGAGGAGGAGGAGGAGGAGGAGGAGGAGGAGGAGGAGGAGGAGGAGGAGGAGGAGGAGGAGGGGGGCCGCCCCAGGGCCCGCGACCCGCTGCACGTGCTGAGCTTGTGCTGGCCTCGTCGCCCTGCGCCCCAGACCTCCGGCTGCTCCACTTTTTTCTGGGCCACTTTCCTGGGGCCGGTTTCTCGTCCCGAGCCGTTTTTTCACGTTCCCGAGGCCTGGCGAGGGCCCCTGGTGGCCGAAACCGGCGCCCCAAACCCGCCGCCCCAATGTGTTTCGGAGCGTCGGATCTCTGGGTGTTGGCCCTAATCACCGCCCTTCTCCGCAGCCGCTCCCGCTCGAGCAATCGTGGCCGGAGCTCCAGCCTCGCCGCGCCGCCGCGCCTCGCCGCGCCGCGCTGCGGGCCGGCGCCCGCTGCCCAGGAGAGCGGAGAAGCGGCACAGCAGGCACAAGCCTTCGGAGGTGCTCGCGGATCACCTGGGTCGTCCAGGGGCCACGTTAGGGAGGGATTGGCTCAGGGGGGGGGGGGGCATCGACCCCCAATCCCCCACGCGACGCCTGCAGGGGCCCGCGCGGCTTCGGCACTGGGGACCCGTCGCCGATCTATCGGCGATGTATCGCCGATTCCAGGTCGATGCTCCCCACGGAGCCGATCCCCCCCTTCTCGCCCCCCCCTGGGCCGACTCCAGGTCGATGCCTCCCCCCCCCCAGAGGGATAGGCTCGAGCGGGGGTTGCGCTGCGTCGACCCCCCAATTGGCCCACGGAGGAGGAGGAGGAGGAGGAGGAGGAGGAGGAGGAGGCGGAGGAGGAGGAGGAGGAGGAGGAGGAGGAGGAGGAGGAGGAGGAGGAGGAGGGGAGGAGGAGGAGGAGGAGGGAGGAGGAGAGGAGGAGGAGGAGGAGGAGGAGGAGGAGGGGAGGAGGAGGAGGATGAGGAAGGGAGGAGGAGGAGGAGGAGGAGGGGAGGAGGAGGAGGAGGAGGAGGAGGAGGAGGAGGAGGGGGATGAGGGAGGAGGAGGCGAGGAGGAGGAGGAGGAAGGAGAAGGAGGCGGAGGAGGAGGAGGAGGAGGAGGAGGAGGAGGAGGGGAGGAGGGGGATGGAGGAGGAGGAGGAGGAGAGGGGGATGACAAGGAGAGGAGGAGGGAGGAGCAGGAGGAGGAGGAGGAGAAGGAGGAGGAGGAGGAGGAGGAGGCGGAGGAGGAGGAGGAGGAGAGGAGGAGGAGGAGGAGGAGGGGAGGAGGAGGGGGAGGGAGGAGGAGGGAGGAGGAGGAGGAGGAGGAGGAGGAGGGGGGAGGAGGCGGAGGAGGGAGGAGGGGGAGGAGGCGGAGGAGGAGGAGGAGGAGGGGATGAGAAGGAGGAGGCGGAGGAGGAGGAGGAGGAGGAGGAGAGGAGGAAGAGGAGGAGGCGGAGGAGGAGGAGGAGGAGGAGGAGGAGGAGGGAGAAGTCCCGCCCTACCCAGGGCGCAGAGGGATAGGCTCGGCTGGGGGGGGCCCGCATCGACTCCCCATTCGCCGTCGCGCCGCCGAGCTCGAGGGACCTGGGACGCGCGGCTTCGCCTTCGGGGGGCCTGCCGCCGGGGGAGGCATCGCCGATGCACTGGGTCGGCGCTTCCCCGCCGCCCCCCCCCCCTGGAGCCGATTCCCCCCCCACGAGGTCCGTTCGGGGTGTGAGATCGAGGTCGGCTCGGGGAGGGTGGAGGGTGCCCTGATGCTCTTCGTGCTTGTTGGACGCTCTTGTGCTCGGACGCTCTTCGGTTTGGCCAGCGGATGCATCGCCGATGCTCCGGGTCGGCGCTTCCCCCCCCCCCTGGAGCCGATTTCCCCCCTCGAGGTCCGTTCGGGGTATGAGATCGGGAGCCTTGGGACGGGGGTCAATGCAAACGGGGGTCAGCCAGAGCGCCCGATCTTGCAGGATCCTGCAGGGCCAGGGTCGCACTGACCCGGGGTGGGGTGCAGGAACCTGCAGGACCTTGCAGGATCAATCGCACTGACCCGGGTTTGGGCGCAGGATCTTGCAGGATTCTGCAAGGCCGGACTGACCCGGGTCTGGATTGACCCGGGTCAGAAGATCCCCGATAAGATCGAGGTCCGGGAGGGTGAAGGGTGCCCTGATGTTCTGCGTGCTTGTTGGATGCTCTTGTGCATGCTGGTGGGGGCACCCTCGGACGCTCTTCGGTTTGGCCAGCGGAGGGTCTCGTGTTCCCGACGGAGGTTCTTCTGTCCCAGGTCTGGCCGCATAGGTTTTGTTTCATCAGTCGACCTCCGACGAGTTTGTGCGTGTTTTTTGCGGCTTCGTGTTCTTCCAGCGTCTCAGCAGCATGGGTCAAGCTCCCAGTGCGGCAGAGGATCTGCCCGGGGAGCAGCGTCTCAGCGGCACGAGTCAAGCTCCCAGTGCGGCAGAAGATCTGCCCGGGGAGCAGCGGGGTGCTCGCGTCGGGGAGATCCGCGCCATGCTGGACGCCCTCGGCTTCGACCTGCGGGCTGGCTTCTCGGAGCGGCGCCTGCGGGAGCTGGTCCAGCAGGCTCGTTTCGATTCCTCCGATTCGATTCGATTCGATTCGACTTCGCTGGCTTGCGATGCCGATTCGGCTCGACTTGGGATTCCGATTTGGGCCCCGATTTCTCACTGGAGGCATGGCCCGCCGATTCGGCTTTTCCCGACTTGGCTGCCGATTTCCGCGAGCCCGATTCGTTTCGAGCGCTGGTCCGACTCATCGATTCGATCCTGGGCTCTCCCTGGCAGGAGGTCTACTGGCTCGGGCCAGAGCTCCGGGACCCGTCCAACGGCTACTACCTCGCCGCGGGCATCAAGATCCTGTTGGGCGGCGGAGGGAAGGGCGGCACGCTGCCGCGCGGCTACAGCGTCGACGTGCGTCTGGGACACGGCGCAGCGACTGTGACCCTCCTGGCAGGCCAGCACGGGAAGCAGACCATGCTGGAGGCGTGCGGCATCAACCGCCGAGCGACCGTTTTTTTGTCGCACTGGCAGGGGGAACCTGTCCGAGACACGCTGTCTGGCATGGAGGACTTCGTGCAGCGGGCCAGCAAGTCCAGCGACGAGCCGGTGTTCTGGCTGGACTTCTTTGGCTTAGACCAGAACAACATCACCTGGACGAAAGACAAGGATCGGAGGCCTAGAGGTTGACACCAACACCAATATCGGCGGCGTGATTCCACCGAGGGAAGATGATCCCGATCCAGGTGATGGTGGTAATATTCGGGCTTTCTAGGTGGCCGAAAGATTACCACCAACACCAAAATCCAGGATCATCTTCCTCTCGTGGAGGCAACCCCTGATGTTGGTGTTGGTGCCAATTTCCAAGCTTCCAAAAGGAGCGCACGAAGCGCACGATCATGGGGCCGACAACTCTGGCGGTGATGATGAGCCCGTGGGAGGGTGGTAAGACTCTACAGCGGGCATGGTGCTGCTTGGAGATCGCTCTGCATGCCCTCGTTGGCCATGACATCGTCATCGTGCTCACGCCAGCTGAGAAGGAGCGTTTCCTCGACGCGTTCCGCAAAGACTTCCACAGCATCATGAACAACACGTGCACGGTGGATGTGCTGAAGGCGGAGGCGACGAAGAAGGAGGATAAGGAGTGGGTGGTGAAGGAGATGCAGGCCGTGGAGGGCGGCGTCCCGAAGATCAACCAGATGATCATCTCTTCGATCTTCGCTGCCCTGACGCAGGTCGCGCGCAGTGCAGTAGAGAGTGCTGGTGGTGACAAGGACGCCGAAGTGGCCATGCTGTGCAACAACCTGGCCCGGCTCCTCAAGGCCCGGGGCCAGTACGGCGCGGAGACCGAGGGGCTCATGCGGCGGGCCCTGGCCATCGGCGAGAAGGCCCTCGGGCCGCAGCACCTCGACGTGGCCATCTGGTGCAACAACCTGGCCCGGCTCCTCCAGGCCCAGGGCCAGTGCGGCGCGGAGGCCGAGGGGCTCATGCGGCGGGCCCTGGCCATCGGCGAGAAGGCCCTCGGGCCGCAGCACCCCGCCGTGGCCACCTGGTGCAGCAACCTGGCCACGGTCCTCCAGGCCCGGGGCCAGTGCGGCGCGGAGACCGAGGGGCTCATGCGGCGGGCCCTGGCCATCGGCGAGAAGGCCCTCGGGCCGCAGCACCCCCACGTGGCCACCGGGTGCAGCAACCTGGTCCAGCTCCTCCAGGACCGGGGCCAGTGCGGCGCGGAGACCGAGGGGCTCATGCGGCGGGCCCTGGCCATCGGCGAGAAGGCCCTCGGGCCGCAGCACCCCGCCGTGGCCACCCGGTGCAACAACCTGGCCCGGCTCCTCCAGGACCAGGGCCAGTACGGCGCGGAGACCGAGGGGCTCATGCGGCGGGCCCTGGCCATCAGCGAGAAGGCCCTCGGGCCGCAGCACCCCGACGTGGCCATCCGGTGCAACAACCTGGCCCGGCTCCTCCAGGACCGGGGCCAGTACGGCGCGGAGACCGAGGGGCTCATGCGGCGGGCCCTGGCCATCGGCGAGAAGGCCCTCGGGCCGCAGCACCCCGCCGTGGCCACCTACTCCAACAACCTGGCTGCGCTGCTGAGGGCCCGGGGGCAGTGCGGCGTACAGTAGCGAATCTGCTCGGGAGCGGGGGGGTCCGATCGCCGCACTTGCCGATCCCGGGGGCTGGCTCGGGCATGAGACGGCACCCGAGAGGCAGCGCGCTGCACAGAACAGCGCGTTGCAGAGCCACGAAGACGGCGGCCAGGGCCGGCTCCGCGGGGGGCGGCCTCGGCTCTCCGCGGGCCCGCCCTCTGCCCCGCAGCAGCCCAGCAGGTCGCAGCCTCCCGGCGTGCCTGCCTGCGTCTGCTGCCGAACTTCTGCCGGGCGCACGTGCGTGGCGCGTCCTGTCCTGGTGTGTTCCTGCGTCGTGAATTGCCCGAGGGGGTTCGGAGCCTTGATCGAGCCTGCCGTGGGCCTTTGCCCTGCAGCGCCAGCGCACTCCTCTTCCTCCCTAGTCTTTTCTCATCCTCCCAGGCCGACGCTGTAGTCCGTTCCGGGGAGGGGGGGGGGTCTTCTGGGACTGCCTCGCCGGCCTCCAGAGCATGAGAGCAGGACAGGATCAGCGAAGGTGTTTCGAGCTTTTTCCTTTTCGCCCCGGGCCGTTTTTTTGTTTGTTGTTGTTGTTGTTGTTGTTGTTGTTGTTGTTGTTGTTGTTGTTGTTGTTGTTGTTGTTGTTGTT